ATGGGGTCAGGCTAAGGGCCTTAGGGGTAGGATATGTTTGAACTTTAAGACTTGTTAAATCCATGCTTCAATGTTACAAGCTTGCTCCTTTAGTTGCTGCCAGCTCCTGCAGAGACTCCACCAGTGGTGCTGTTCCAGCAGCTCATGGCACATCGAATTGCTGCCATCCACCGCTGTTTCCACAGGGGTTCTCAGCATATCCCCTCCACTGCACTTCTGTTTAGAGTACTTTTAATTTGAAGCCAAGATTGCAATTTGCGTGAGCCACTCTTGTTCTGTTATCTCTTCTTTTTAGCTTTGCATCACAGTTCAGCTCATAGCGTTTAATTAGCTTATTTTACTTGCAAATAGTTGTTGCTAAAATTTGTTCTGAGTACCACCGGAGAGATCTGGAGTACCACCACTAGTATCTGCACCAAACAGTAAGAGGACTCTGGCTACAGTGTGACTTAACTGAGATCACGTTGTACAAACCAGAGATGCATCTGTAATTTCATTATATGCTAAATAATGGTACTAAAAGCGACTCCATAGAATAAATAAAGCCTTTTGCAAACTGTTGACACAAAGTATTATGAATAATTCAGACTGAACAGAACATATCCTCATTAAATACGGATTACCACTATAGACAGATTTGTCATTTGGTTTCACCATGTTTCCATCATCAGTTTCACACAAACCGATTAGCTGAAAAAGGAGGAGCAGAGTTTCATTCTCTCTTTTATGTTAAAATGAATTAGTCCGTAAGCTCTATGGGCATTTCAGAGCCAAAACCCCCCAAAAGTAGCACTGAAAATGTAAAAAAGATATTTTCAAATGGTGTGAGGACGGAAAACAAGTCTCACTGAGAGTCCTTTAAAAGCCTCGAGAGATAAAAGTCAACCCAAATGCACGAATAGACCCAGTTTAATTAAGAAACCAGAGACATATTGTTTTTTTCAACATGAGTCCAATTTTGATCCATTGCCAACCATTTTATCTTCCACAAAACATATATTACTGCTTTTTAAAAGGTTGAAGAGAGATACTAAGAAAAACGGAGAGCACGAGTGATGGTGGTTGAGGCATTTAAAATGATCATCCTGCACAGAACCCTTTTTACAACTCCCTGCACAACAGCTAAAAAGTCAAATCTCGACAAACGTGCAGGCATTTCTACATCAAACCATGACTTTATCAGATGTATTAGATGTAAACTCATTTCTCTGCGTCTGTGCCGATAACATCTTTAGATGGATTCTTCTCTGTGCAGCTCTGAACATGCCTCCGTACATTAAAGCTCTGAAGAAACAGAAGCTAGACCACTTCCCAAAGCAGCGTGACACACTTCTCGTCATAATCCCTTCTCTGATTTTCCCGTTTCTTATTCAGACTGCGCATCAACACGGGTCTTAGGGACTCACTTACCAAAATGTGCAAATTGGCATCAAATCATAAATAGTGTGAATGAGTGTTCAGATCTGTGACTGAGGCTCTAAATTTAACAGCATCCTGCTCACTGGGTTGTGACTGATGGTGAGATGTTGGACACACAACATTGTGAGAAATTGGGCAGATTTTCAGCTGGAATCATGCAGAATTGATTGCATAAGGCCTGTTTCCATTATCGTTAATGTTTGCCGTGGATGCATTTTGGTGCTCATCAGTGCTGTCACTCATTCTAGCAGCTATGCTGACGTCTTTGTATGAAGACGTCCGAACCATCGTTCCTCTGGGTCCCTTTTCTCCCTCCCAGGAATTTCCCACAACACCTGGAGTTGAAACACATCTCTAACCCCGGCTTTCCACGGGAGCCGTCAGCAGCACGTTACTGCAGCAGCACGTCTTGCTCGCGTAAGCTGCTGCTTGGCCCCTCCCACGAGACGCGAAGCAGCAGGGGAGCAGCTGTCACCGACCGAGCACAAAGTCACACGAGTGACTTCGTCAGTAAACACAACAACAAGCAGGAGAAAACTACAACATGGTTTGTGTTTTATGTTCTGTCCGTGTTATAATCGCCAATACGGACCTGAAAAACAAAGGAGACCGCTAGCTAGGTGATAACTTCTCACGGGGACGCACAGTTAGTAACCTTTTTTAAAGTAAAGCAACCGGAAGGCAGTACGTTCTTTATTCTGAAAATCTCGGGAGCTTCTCTCCATTTCCGCGTCTGATTTCCTGTCTTTCCTTCCCCAAAAATGTGGAACTTGACCCGTTTCAGAGGCGTCGCGCGTAGAAAATAGAACCGGCGTGTAAAGGCTGCGACATGCTGCTCCTGAGACGCGGCCGACTCGCGCTGCTGACGGCTCCGGTGGAAAAGGTTCTGTTGACCACAGCGGTTCCTATCAGCAGCTATGACGTGCTGCTGCAGTAACGCGCTGCTGACGGCTCCGGTGGAAAGCCGGGGTCAGACATTTCTGCATGTGTTACATCTAACCTGTTTACACGTGATGACTTGTACAAATGGGTCATGGGTATTTTGCCATTTTTTTGTAGAAAATGTTCAGCTAATACATCTGAGGACTTTAGAAAGTTCCTGAATGTAGTTCGTAGTTTGTTGCAGACAATGGCAACCTCAAGGGGTGGCCAGGGGTGGCCGTGGCCACTTCTAGAAAATTGCTGGCCACCCCACAGGGGTCTCAAATTTCATGTGTGCTAGACCCATGTTGATTTTTTATGAAAATGAATAAAGGAGCATTTACTGCATCAGTACAGGCTGAAGTTTCCCAGAGACACCACGAGGATCAATTTGGTGTGTCACCCCAAAACTTTCTCTAGCCCCACGGCCACCCCTATGAAACTTTTCTGGAGGCGCCCCTGGTTGCAGCCCGGTGAGATGCCTACTCTATTTTCCTACTAAACCATTGTTTTGTCTTTTAAAGCAATCATGTCTGGTCTGTAAGGTTTCTGTTGTCTCAGTAAAAGAAAGCTCTGCTTACTGGAGGCATGCTGATAAATTGCTAATTTAAAAGAATCAGATTAAAGTGCAGATTTTAGGGTGTAGGATTACAAAGCATGTTGGTAATTTCCTAACCTGGGACCAGCTTTTATTACACATATGATAAAATAAACTCACAGGGTAACACATCTCAACTGAAGACTATATGTACTAAAACAAAAGATGAAAATTACGAGTAAAGAGAGCTTCAGTCGTGTTACTGATGCCTGGTGTGGTTGAGATTCAACATCTTGACTTCCCGTTGGGGATCTTGATCCCTTTTTCTGTTCATCCAAACACAAAAACTATGAATCTGATAAACCCGCTCGTCATCACGTCAGCCACAGCAAAGGTTAAACAATTATTAGTTTGGTGCTGTTACACATTAGTGCCACTGCTCTGTATGAATCTTACAAATGAGCCCGATTCCTTTAAATACTCAGAAAAATCTATTTTCACCTTTCAGACACGGGCTGGAGCTGCAACCAGACGATAAATACTCACCCCTTTACTACAACCCACAGCACGCTGCCTAGTTAGGCTCCTCTCGCCTTTACATCGTCTTACATTCGTCGTCGATGTCTTTTCCCTGTCATCTCCTTTCTCACACCCGTTTCTCTTCCGCTTGATTTCATTTTCCCACATTTCAAATCACATACGGGTTCTGTCACCACCTCCCACGGCTCCATTCTCCTCGTCACGGCGGTAAAAGAGCAGGTCCGTCGAAACAGGAGCCTAATCGTTTCATTTAATAGAACCGCTGTCTGTTAATGTTGAGGCTGGCTCTTATCTGATCCAGGAACAGGGAGAGGGGTCTGCAGGGTCTGAGAGACTTACTTTGTGACAACTGCTTATCTGATGGAAGGAAGTGTGGAGAGCAGACCACACGTTCTTCAAAGATTACCTGCTTACCTGAAGGTACATTTCCAAATGGATCACAACTAAAAGAAGTGCTGACAACTGGATGAACGCTGGCTCATTTCAATGTTTAGATTATTCTCTCTACAGCAAAGAGAATTGATATTGTGGCTCCTCAAACCGCATCAAATGTTTCTGCGGTGATAAAATTTCATCAAGATTTAACGCCGTTGTTGACAAGTAGAATGAACGACTTGGAGGCAACTACAGAAATCTGCTTTTTTCTAAACAGTGGCTCTTAGAAACAGTCAGGGATTCATTCTGCAATCTGGGTGGTAAACACTACACTGAAAATACTGGATTTCAAGAAAGTAAAAAAAAATCTTGTTTAGATGTTTTATCGTACTTTTGGTCAAAAAAATAACTGTCTCATCTACAAAAACAGCCCCACTAGTTAAATGCGTTGATTTTATTCAGCTCATATATTTTAAGTTAAGTGAACTTATAGTTTTTGGGCAAGTTAACCTAAGAATTATTACGAAATCGGTTTCCTGAAATGTTGAGCTCAGTGAACTTATCCGGGTTTACAGTGAATAAATATTATTGAATATGATCAAATTTTCTTGTTTGGAGTAAAAAAATCTGCCAGTGGGGTATGCAAAATTAACTCGGCTTAATCTAACCGGCTTAATCTAACCGGCTTAATCTAACCGGCTTAATCTAACCGTTAGATTTATTCACCTGTTTTAAGAGTTTTAGCTAAGCTTATCCTACCGTCAGATTTTTTTTAACAAATCAAGAAAATGTGATCATCTTAAAGAATATTTACTTTTTTAAGTAGTGCTCATTCTCCTCAAATTATTTTTGATGGGAAAAAAAGGAAAAAATGTCTAAAGAGACGTTTTTATCACTTTCTTGAAAATCAGAGAGACGACGGAAAAATAGTTCAGGATAGAAATCCTGAATGACAAATTAAAATAATCAACACTAAATTCAAAATGAATTATTATCATTATTTATGTTTCTATTATTATTATCATTATTACTACTAATATTATGACTATATTATTATTATTATTACACTTATTATATTTATTTATTATTATTTTTATCCATCCAGCCCTCCCCAGTTGGACTCTGATGTTAGGAGAAACACAATAAATGAACAAACTGCTCTCCATACAACTAAACTACTCAGCATCGGCTTCTACTCGACACTTACTGCACTCATGTCATTGATCTGACCCAGAGTCAGCTGCAGCAGCTGCTCGTCACCGCTTTCACACATCAGCTTGAGCGCGGGCTGCAGGAGGCTCGGCTGGTGTTGGAGAAGCAGCTGTGCCGTGTGTCGGATGCACTGGAGGAGGGTGGGGTGGGATGAAGGGATGAAATGAAGGGTTGAGACGTGGGGAGGAGAACAAAAAGAAGGTTAATCGATGAGGATATGGCGTGTAGAAACAATAGCTTTAAGAGGGCTGATGCACAAACAGAAACACACATCGGGCTGAGATCCGGTCCCACCCCGTATCGTATGGATGACACAACGCAATCTGACTCCCTCATGCTCCCACGGTTTCATTCCAGCGGATTCAAATTAAAGCTGTTCACAGCAGAGTAAAAGGCCTTCCCTCCCCCCACCCACCCTCTAATATTAGACAGCCAGGCAGACACTAGCCTACTCACAATGAATAGCATTAGCGCTAAACTAATATCAGTCAGCTGGCCTCAGACATACAGGATGAGTGGCTTACTGCTCGCGCGGTGCTCAGCAGGCCGTGAACAGCATTAGGGGACGTCAGATATGAAACAGGGCTGGTGAATATGTGTGTTTTGTAAAAAGCACCCAGCTGATGCTAACGTGTAGCTGTGGGTTTAGGTTCCTGCAGTCCGATACGAGCTAAAACGCTGCTGCTGCACTGAACCAAAGCAAAGATAAAAGACGTTTTAGTGCTCTCAGTCTACAACATCATATTCCACACTTTAGAACCGTAGGACTGTTGTTTTCATATTACCTGCACAGGAAGCTTGTGTTTGGTGTTGAAGAGCGACCTCACCATGGTGACAATCTGCTGACCCAGGTCTAATGTGACCTCTGACCCCTGGCAGCGGGTCAGCAGCAACGAGGCAAGCATCACCCATGGGTTACGCTCCGACGTCGCCCTGTCAACAACCAGAATGAACAGTAAGACAAACTGGTAACACTGAAGGCAGAGCAAGAGCGTTTGAGTCCTAAAGAGTTCAGTTCAAAGCAAAGGAGCAGACACGCAGCACACGTCAGCACCGCAGCCACGCCACATCACGCCAATTAATAGCCTTGGCACTTCCTCCGAACACACAAACTCCTCTAAAACATGACTGGTGGACTGCTGCTGGATCACTCAAGTGTTGGCAGTGTGCCATCTCCATCATGCATTATGTGTAAAATCAATACAGTCTAATTAATAACCGCTTCCCTCCGTGTTGTTCTCCACGTCTCTGTAAACAGAGGTCCGATACATCTCCCTCCGCAGATCAGCAGCGATGATTTAAAACGCTCCGAATAAGAAATGAGCAGCAGTTTGTTTCCTGGCCGTGACCCCAGAGCAACGTCTCACTGCAGGTTTTTACTCGAGCTGCACAAGAGAGACAAACGTGAAGATGATAACTTACATGAGCTCCTAACACTCCCTAAGATGTGTGTGTGTGTGTGTGTGTGTGTGTGTGTGTGTGTGTGTGTGTGTGTGTGTGTGTGTGTGTCTGTGTGTGTGTGTGTGTGTGTGTGTGTGTGTGTGTGTGTGTGTGTGTGTGTGTGTGTCTGTGTGTGTGTCTGTGTGTGTGTGTGTGTGTGTGTGTGTGTGTGTGTGTGTGTGTGTGTGTGTGTGTGTGTGTCTGTGTGTGTGTCTTTGTGTGTGTGTGTGTGTGTCTGTGTGTGTGTGCGTGTGTGTGTGTGTGTGTGTGTGTGTGTGTGTGTCTGTGTGTGTGTGTGCGTGTGTGTGTGTGTGTGTGTGTGTGTGTGTGTGTGTGTGTGTGAGTGTGTGTGTGTCTGTGTGTGTGTGTGTGTGTGTGTGTCTGTGTGTGTGTGTGTGTCTGTGTGTGTGTGTGTGTGTGTGTCTTTGTGTGTGTGTGTGTGTGTCTGTGTGTGTGTGCGTGTGTGTGTGTGTGTGTGTGTGTGTGTGTGTGTGTGTGTGTGTGTGTGTGTGTGTGTGTGTGTGTGTGTGCGTGTCTGTGTGTGTGTGTGTGTGTCTGTGTGCGTGTGTGAGTGTGTGTGTGTGTGTGTGTTGTGGAGAAAACCTAGAACCAGAACCTAACCGGGCCGTTGACAGTAACTTCTTGCTTGAAGGACAGTTTCCAAACTTCCATGAACGATTTGAGACGATTCTCGGTGTGTGTGCACGGCTTCGGTCTGTGTTGCTGGAGATGTGAACGCACTAGGCCATGGACATGTGGGAGCATTTGTGTGACACACATTTCTCCCAGAAGAGTCACAGAGTCGTTGCAGGCGTCTAAAGCTTCATGTGAGGAAGTCCAAAAGTTGGAGAAATGTGAGAAAACTCGCAACATGAATGAATCGCAAACATTTAAGGACATAATCAAGACCCGTGATTCCAGCGTGACCTGACAAACAGGAACGTGTCAGTAATGTAATTACACGAGAGTCCATCAGAAACCCTTCCCAGAGTGTGTGTCTCCAACCTGCAGCCGGCAGTCAGGAGTCCCTGAAAACATAAAATAACCCTACGAACCGTGGCAAAGGCTCGGTAACTAGTTTCAAATGCCGTGTGTTGATTTTGTGTCGGGATATTTTAAGTACCATACTACTCTGTAGAGTTCAAAGGGTAGAGATGAACTCGGCTGCTGAAGAAAGGATAACGCTAGACAATGGGCTCATGGGGAAGGACGTATGTCTGTGCTGTCTGAACACAAAAGGGAACAAAGGCCCAATCCCAAACTCGAACTGTGCCCTACCAGGAAGTGCACGGTAAGGCTTCGAATGCGTAGTACACAGGCGTGGGACAGAGAGCGTTGCACCATCGACTGCAATGCATGCCGGTCGCTGTTTGTCCAACTTTTTTACAAATCTTTATGAACAACTTGCAAACAAACAACTTCTTGACCGTATTTACAGTACATTCATTGCTGCTCACACAAACATGCAGAGCATGAACAGATACCATTAATCATCTTAAAACTAACTTTATTTTGAAAATATGTATTTTTAGAAAAGCCACTTGAGCCATTATTCTCAAAAGTCCCACGCAGCAATGGACTGTGGGTAATACCCTTCGCCCAAGTCCACATCGATGCGGACGTGGGCGAAGTGTGGATCAAGCGTGCAAAAGGAGCGTGGTGGTGAGAAGGGTTAGGGTCAGGACACCCTACGCACTCGCAGCCATAGCTGGGATCGCACAATTGAAGGGTGCAAGTGTGAGTATTGGGATTCTCTCCTGGTTGGACGTAACTGCAAAACCTCACCAGGGAGGCGTCCAGGAGGTATCCTAACCTCAACTGGCTCCTCTGGATGTAGAGAAGCAGTGAATCTACTACGAGCCCCCCCCGGATGGCCGAGCTTCTCACCCTATCTCTAAAGCAGAGTCCAGACACCGTGCGAAGAAAACAGATTTAAGCTGCTCGTCTCTGCAATCTGATTCTTTGAGTCACCACCCGAACGTCTGGGCCATGGCGAGCGTTGAGACGTTGACGGACCAGTAGACTAAGAGCTTTCAGGCTCAGCTCTCTCATCACAACACCAAACAGACTAAAGATGTTTGTTTTGTTTTTAAATATAGAAATGTTTGCAATTAGTTGAGTGTAGTTCTTGCCTTACTGCACAAACAGCTTTTTCTGTTACGTTGCTTTTTCCAAATCACCGCGGTCTTCTCTTATTTTACTATTTTAATGTTGTAATTTAAACCTGAAGGCAAACCGTCGGAGCGCTGCGGCGTTCGTCAGCTTCTCCGCAGTCCTGAGGTACCCGATGATAATCCTGTTAGACGCTGACTGGATTACAGCAGATGACTTCTGTTTGTGCTCCAGATGGCATACATCGTCACAATGAGTATAAAAGCCACATGAGAGTAAGAGACAGACATGAAAGCAGCCGCAATGATCGGGAGGTTTGCAGATGAACTAATGGATTCTGACCGTGACACGAAGATGTTTGACCGTAATCCTCCTGCTGTTAACATTAAACACCCGCGCCATGCATTATCCCTCTCCTCTGTGTGTGTGTGTGTGTGTGTGTGCACCCGGGATCGGCCGCCAACACTGACAGGCATCACTCTGTTGACACGCTCTTTTTATGAGCTCTTTGTGACCTTCAACGATGCCTCTGGAGTGACAGATTAGCTCCCAACAAGGCCGGCACACAGGTGCTGCTCGGCCAACACGACCTTCATGGATCTCTTTTTATTACACATCAGTCAGAGGAATAAATAAATAAATGAAAGTGAAAATCCCAGACCTTTCCGTCTCTCTTAATTAAATGCAGTCATTTTAAAGACAGTGCAACTAATCTTAGCGGGTGTAGCAGTTAGTGCACAACAAAGCCTCATTATTCACAATCAGACCACATGAAGAGATTCAAACACCGTTTTAACAAGATGCAAATATTAATGCAACATATGGAAAAAAAGGCAGATTCTTTAACATGTTTAAACACTTCCGACACTTCCAGCAGCTAGAAAATAGATGTCGGCATGCACGCCCAGCTGGGGGTTTGGAAGTGATTAACATGACAAGCAGTGCATTATTTATTAAAAAGAGAGCAAGGGAAGAAAGGGAAGTCAGAGCCGAGAGGAGGAGTGTGCTTTTATTCCACTCACAGCGTCTTAAAATGATCATGAGCGGATTGTGGCGAGGCTTTTAAATCGCTGGTGGCGCCATGAGAGCCAGAGATCTTCAAGTGGTTGAAGACTGATGTCAGATCGGGCTGCTGGAGTGTTTCTTTAAGCAAACTCGATAGAAGCAGGCCGCGTGATGAGACTGTGTGTGTGTGTGCGTGCGTGCGTGCGTGTGTGTGTGTGTGTGTGCGTGTGCGTGCGTGCGCGTGCGTGTGTGCGTGTGCGTGTGTGCGTGTGCGTGTGTGTGTGTGTGTGTGTGTGTGTGTGGTGCTAAAAAATAGAAGCGAGGGATTGGAAACGTCTGGAATAAGGAGACGGGGCACAGTAAAGAGGCAGAACCGAATGGTTTGTGTGTGTCAGTACAGAATGAGAGAAAGAGCATCCCTCCATCCAAGTTCCAGGGTGCCGTGCCCTGACGAGCTGCTTCACCTCCAGTAGAGGTGGCCATGGGAACAAGCAGAGTCTGCTCATGCTGCTGCTTTTTCCAGAGACCAGAGGAGGGAGGGGAACTGCTGCATGAGACCTGTGTGTGTGTGTGTGTGTGTGTGTGTTCTCATCAACGCTGTCACAGGGGGCAATGTGAGTCAATTTGTGCTTTGAATTGTGACTCGGTGCACGTGAACACACTGAAGAATAAGCCTTGTTTGCAGCTCAGCACCCGAAACAGTCCCTCTTAGCCTCCTCACCTCATTACAGGGTCACCACAACGCTGGAGTCCAAAACTTGATATTAATAAAGGTTCTGATGAAGAAAATAATCCACCGTTTCTGATCGTGAAAGGAGGACGGCCATTAAATGATGTATTTTAGGCTAATCTGACATGAGATTATTTCTGAAAGATGACCTTGTTATGAACGGACAAAAAGATTCGTTTCAATTTCAGTTCAGTTTATTTATATGGCACCAAAGGTAGGGTTACATTTCAGTAGAGTTCTGTTCATTAAGCCAATCAGTAACAAGTCTCCTATACAAGCAACTCGGCACATTGCATCGAGTCACTGACTAGTATCAGTGTGTTTAGAATAGAACAGACTAGTGATCCCACAGTGGGGGATTCACTTGTTACAACCAGGCCCCACAATGCGGCTCTAAAATTGGTCTCAACCCAGAAGTACCAAAAGTTGCAGTTCCACCCTCATCCACTAGGGGCTGGTGTCAGAAGCGAGCAAATCCTCACTGACTGATGATGTTTATTATTTCGTCTTGTTCCAAAATGTCCACGATCCATTTACAGCAGTTAAAGTGGTTTTCAGTGAAGGCGTCACTCGCCCCAGTGACAGTCCGCAGAGGCCGTCACACACAGCCACAGTCCTCGCCACACCTGAGTCTAATCAGTGTTGG